GCAAAGGAAGATGAAAAGTCAGAAATCTCTTCTTTGGCTAAGGTTTTACCCTTTGTAATTTTTCTGAAAAAAATAGGGAAAAATACCATGGAATTTTTATGAACAGAATAAAATTATATGCATGTTGCAGATACTCAGTTTGCTGTGTTATGATTATTCTGTTATCATGTATTTCACTGGAGTTGTTATTGTGGACCCAGTGCTTGAAAATTTGAGTGCTTATAAATCTCATGGTTTATGAAATGGAAGTATATTCTCAAGAAATCAAAGTACATTTCCTACCCTTTGTGCTCATGAGAGACAATTTATGACTTGTTCTTAATCGTCTTACTCTCCTTTCCTTTTGCCTTCTTTACCAACTCCTTCCCTTCCTCTTTCCTTTCCCTTCAGCCTGTTTTCCCTTGTTCTAGGATTTGCCTGTGCTGATTTATTTTATAGCATAATGTCTACTAACAGTTTTATGCTAATGGGAATTTTTGGAGCTTTGATTCATAATTTTTGGAGGGGCAGTGTTAATGAACAGATGCTTTGTGCCTTCTCTAGTCAAGGCATTTTTCAATTATTTGGTGGTGTTCTCTGTACTGCTGTCACAATTACTGGCTTCCATGTAGCCCTGAATAGAGAGCTTTTCATGGAATACTGGCTATTCACTTCTCACAATATTAACTTCTTCCATAATCTGTCTGATGAATGAGGTGATTAAATAACTTACTTGTTTGATAAGATTCATTTCTTAAATTTACATAGAGAGAACTATGTGTATCATAGATTTTTGGGAAAGAAGAAAATAGGACTGACAATGAAGGTGAGATTAGTAGGATGGAGCTTGATGTTTTAAGATTTCTGAATGTATTTATACCAAAAAAATTTACAACTACATTAATCTATCAATTCATATGTTCAGTTTATTTCCTGATTTTCTCTTTTTTTCTTTCCATCTGCTTTTCTCTTTTTAGGCAACTTTCTTTGGCATAAGATTGTTCCAGTTGCTCTGTGAATTTGGAAAATGAAAAATACACTTTAGAAATTATTTCAGTCTAATTAGTACCGACAGCATTCTTGAATATGTACATGCATGTACATCTTAATATGCAGTTATTACATGGAATACTCAAAGTATGCGTCACTCTACTGTAAAACAGAGGGGAATATTAAATTCCCATGTTTTTCTGAGATGTTAATTGTGCGTTACCCAGTAATTCTAAGACTGAAGCTTGTGAAGTTGACCACGGTACTGTAGGGTTTCTTTTCCTTACAAATATATTTTGTGAATTCCTTCCTCAGCCCTTCTTTAAGTTCAGGTTTAATTTCATCCATGATAAAACAGGATTCTTATCTTCCAGAAGATAAGAAGAAGGTCTCACATTTTTGGTGTGGTGTTGGTTTTTTTTTTTAAGATAAATCCCTTGGATTTCCTTCAGCTCCCCTTATCTTATGTGGACATCAGCAGTTGCAGCCAACAGCATATCAGTGAAGCCAAGCAAATTGTCTGTGGTTTGACCTTTGTTTAAAGTGAAGACAGTAGGTTAAAATAATATGTAAAACCGCTATATACGTAAGTCCCTCGAGTCTTTCTAGTCATGAAGATTCTAAGAAATTTCTAGGTTAGGTTTTTGCTTTGTTAGTCTTACTCACAGAAAGTAATTTCTGCCTTTTTTTTTTATTTTATTTCAGGTTTACAGTCATTAATTTGTTTTCTTTATTCTGTACATTTTTTCTCATTGTCTTTTTTGTTTTCCGAGTTCCTCAAATCCCTCCATTAATTGTTTGTCTAATAAAAAGTAAGCAAGTAGGGGAGAGGTGATAATTACCTTGCTTATCCACTTGACTAATGTTATAGATAGCTTATATATTGATTAAGAGCATATAATTCTCTCTAGTTTCATATTACTGCCAGTCAAACTATGGGCTGGCAAACCAGTAGCACACTGATCAATTGCGTTATGCAGTCCTTCCTCTGTAGTCCTTCTCATTTTCCCCATCTGTTCCATCAGTGGGTTTTTTAAGAATAAAAGCTATGTAAACCAAGAATCCAGCATGCAGCTGCTTTGGGCATTTTTAAAAATTTGGGTTTGGATAAATTTGTAATACAGGGGGAGTAACAAATCAACACGCATAGAAATGGCACAGGAGATTCTTTCTGAACATTTTCATTCTAGTAGGTAAAGGGCGCTGCCTATAGGTCACAGCCTGAAAAACAGTTTTAAACAAGGTTATTTTCCACAGGAATTTCTAATAAAAGACTAGGCATTTATTTCAGCAAGCCATTGACTAGCCATGCTTTTTTTTTTCATTGTTTTCAAAGCTCCATACTTCAACTTAACAGACACTTTTCCAAGACAAAATGAATATATTTGATGCATCTTTGAGCTCTTTTTTTCTGAAGACTTACTGCAATGTGAATCTGGTGAAGACATTCAATCTGTTTGAGAAAGAAGACTTAATTACCCTGTTGCCAGAAAAATAGCAACCTTCTTCAGGTTAAGGATGATATATGTTGCAATAGTATAGGGTGTCTTGAGGTATTTTTAGCTGCTGATTAATGGAAGGTATGCTTCCAAGACCCTAAAAAATCAATGGTAACTTTTATTTTAAGGTTTACTTGTAATACATCTGTAATTAATATGTCCTGCTGGGGATGCTACCATGCTGTGTTTTTACTTTCTTTCTGAAATCTTGAACAAACAAAACAAACAAAAAACCCACAAAATTCCCACAAAACAAACAAACAAAAAATTGAAAAGGAGAATTTTTGACTGTCCTAGATGTATTTCAACCTAAACTTTATGAATAGCTCAAATCCTGCAAAAAGGAAGAAAGGCAGAAACACAGGCAGTTATGAAGGCTAGTTCTATTTTTCCCTTATGATACAAAGTAATGTAATTATAGTCTATTATCAAAACGTCATTGTACTCCTATTCCCAGAGTGATTCAGTAGTATTATGGGCACAGCTCGTTCATAGTGTTACAGAAGGGTCTATTGATCAATTCAACTTTTTTAAAGAATGTTAAAATGTTCCCTTGAACGTGCATAGGTCTTGTGCTTTCTCTCTGCAAAAAAAAAAGGCTTTTGTTCTGAAAGATTCAGTATCAAAATAAAGTATCTCTGATTTAGTCATATATTTGGTTTTAATTTTGTGCTATATAGAGTAAGTAATAGCCAACTTCAGGAATACTGTGCATGATGTGACTTTCATAATGTCACATGATTGTTCATGCCGTTATTTAAAATATATTGTCAAAGCTATTTTTCATACTAAATGCAAGCAGAAAATAGATTTGCTGATTATTATTAGTTAAACAGATAATTCAAGAGGTTGAGCATGGTGGGTAAATCATATGTGAATCTATCCAATACTGTTTTCAGATATTTTAGGTAGTCAAGTGGCAGCATGTGTGTTAACTAGAAATCAGCTTAGTTGGAATGGTTTGTGCAAGGTGTGAAAACTGTCTAGAAAACAAGGATTCCCACTGCCCTAGAATATTTTTGGTGTTTTTAATTTGTTTGTTCCATGAATCAGAAACAAGACCTTACCGAAATATGAAGGGGCTGAAAAGAGCTCTTGCCTCAGATGAGCAGTCAGAGAGAAATGAAGTGTCATGCCAGAATAGCCAATAGAGCTAAAGTTTGTGCTGTATGCATAAATATTTATTGATCGAGGTAAAAGTGAGTCTAACAATGGAAACTGTGCTTGAATGTCTTCTCTGTTTAAGAAATCTTCTGCAGAGATTGATACTTTCTGAAAAAAAATATGGTTTTCATTAAATTTCCAGCTACCTCTGATGAGTGTTGCAGTGACTACCAGAACAACACTGCTGACAGAAAAGCAAACGGTTTTTTCTGTAATATGAATTCCTAATTCTACATTGCTCTGTGGTGAAAATGGATGATGTGCAATGTAGGTCAGCATGATGTCAATTCTAGCAAATTAAAATACAGATGCTTCCTCTCAAATCAATCAAAGCATCTGTGAAACTTCACAAATTAGAAATAATGTGGACATGTGAATCTACTTGACACTGCACAAAATAATCCCTGTTTTTTATTGTGGTTCTCAAGAGCTTTCAGACATACAAAAATATGTCAGAATCTATAGCTGCACATATTGCGCAGTGACTAAACTATACAAAATTGTATTTCTGTATTTTTAAAAATTAATGCATTAATTAAAGAATCAGATCAGAAATTTGACTTGTATTTTGGAAAGGGTAAATCAGCTTTTACCATTGATCCTTGGGGGAAACCCCCAACTATTTCCTTTTGCCTTTTGCAGGTGCTGCGTACAAAATGTGAATTGTGTTTTAGCTATTTACTGTAATGAGGCCCAGATCCAGTACAATTCCTTACTATGTACTGTTTACTATGCCTTATTAACATACATATGCTTCTTGGATCCTCACTAGAATATGCCTGAGGCTTATTTTTTTTCTAACTCCAAGTTTATTTCTGCCGCATGAAAGAGTGCCTACTATGTACTTAAACTTGATATCACTTTCTGGGTGTTAGGGGGTTTTCTGTTGGGTTGTTTTTTTTCTATGGGTTGGTGGGGGTGACAACTGCAAAATATTTTTCACATTTTTCTTTTGAATTGCACCTTAATTACCAGCTCCAGTTTGTGTTTTGGCTTTATTAGTATTTAGTTTTGGCTTGTTTGGATTAACAGTATATGCACAAATTATAAATTCTTGGATCTGCAGCAGTTTCTCACAAACAGTATCAACAGTACAATTTTAAGAGGGAGTAAGGGATGTATGTTCCTTACCATAAAATAGTACTTGAAATAAGGTAGGCATCAATCTCTCTTATGCAACAGAACCCTGTTGAAAATGGATGTATGTGAAAGAATCCTACTAGTTAGTTGTAAGATATTTTACTCCTTTACTTTGTGTCATACTTTTCGTATTTATTATGTAATTAGCAAAGTGTATTTACACAGGCAATTATATGCTTCCTTTTCTTTTTGATCTTTGCACTAACTAAAGCCATTGTTTCATTTCAGTTTGGAAGACGTTACATTGAAGATATTTTTAACGATTTTCGAGATGGACGAAGACTTCTGGAGCTCCTGGAATGTTTTACGGGCCAAAAACTTGTATGTGTATATTAACATGTTTACTGAATATTGAAGTCCTTTTGGTTTGATAATTGTAGTAGGTTTTATTTGTTAATTTCCACTGTTAATGAGGGTCTGTAAAAACTATTTTTTAGGTTTTTTTTTTTTTTAATTTTCATCTGAAATTGAGAAAACATTGAAACTGAGAGCTGTATTGGACAGTAAGCCTTTAGTAGGCATATATTTGAAATTAAAATGTTCCAGGTTGTTGTATGTATTTATTAAGGAAGTGTGGCAAAGAGAAGCAAGACAGAGGCAAGGTTTGTTAAGACGTAGATTTTAGTTGGAGTCAGAAATTATCACTAGGAGTTTGTGCCAAATACAGGGAAAAGAATTCAATGTGGAGAATTAGAATGTTTCTCTAACAAATTTTGCACATGTTTAACATGTGTTGAAGTTGTACATGTCTGAAAAGTGAAAAACAAGCTTGCTCTTACTAACCTGGAAATTTTAAAGGATATTTCACGCATATTTTTTAATATCCTCTCTTGTGCTCCTGCTTGGACTATATGAACCTGGGATCTTTCTCTGAAATTGTCTTGTAAAAGAGTAATGAATCAGTCTGGGAGTTTGAAAATCTTGAGACAATATATTTGTAAATAAATACTAAACAAGCTGATGTGTTGTTGCTTGGTTGTCATGGTAATGTTCCTAAATTCTGCAATAGAGAGGATGACTAATCATAATAGAAACAATATGAATTATCCTATTTTCTACACATTCCAGTGATTCATTCACTGACAGCTGTCAAGGTACCAAATTACCTTCCAACTGTGGATCCAGTTCATTTCACACTTGCCTTTATTTCATATCAGGAAGCTACAAATGTGCAATGTATGGTAATATGCTCACTGTTGTCATAAACTTAGTAAGTGAAAAACTGCAGGTGTAATATAAGATTTGAGTTACATATAGTGTATTCTAGTTTCTGATTTTGGGCAGTCAAGTTTGTTTTAATTTTTTTGTAGGCAAAAGAAAAGGGGTCCACAAGAGTTCATGCTCTGAACAATGTCAACAAAGCACTCCAGGTTTTGCAGAGATATAATGTAAGTAATCAGCCACACAGAACATCCTATAGATAGTATATTTAATGCTTTGTAAGTGGTGGATCAAACTCTGGCCTATGGTATACAATTACTGGAGTCAAGGCAGTTTTATTAATATGACTTGGATACTTTATCATTCAGCACCATGTTGGAATGTATTTCAGAGTTTAAAATCTTTTGGCAGCAAGTGTGTGAACAGTATATCTATAACGGGTGCTACCTTAAGCCAGATCAACATGCACATGTTTTTGGTAATGCATGGTGTTTAAAATATGTTTTTAAAGGTTAATTACAAGAGTTCATCCATAGCAGGTTAGAAAGTGTTACCTATCAAAGTATCTACTCACAAGCTCTGAAAATTATGAAGTCTGAAAAACTGAGGCTTTTCCTGCAAGAAATCTTTTTGGTAAAATTTCATTGCTGTTTGTTCCTTATGGTTCATAACATTAAGGAAATGAATCATATCAAAACCACTTTCCATTCTACTTTGTCAGGATTGACTTTTCCAGCCGGTATCCTGTGCATCATTTTTGAGTAAATATTCTCGTATCTTCCTTACGTAAGCATTCTAATGGACCCATAACTTCAGCAGATATTTTCAGTGGCCAACAAGTTATATCATATCTTCTCCTCAAGAATAGATTCAAATAAACTATTACATTTACTTAAACTTAACATTAAGATGTGATGGAACGCCGATAATGTATTCTGTGCTGCATATTATATTTTCGATAGATGCAGTAGGTCACTAAACATGCATGAGTTCAGCTGCTGAATAGTTACTGATTTTATAAATCTAAGGTAATCTGTTTGAAGATTTGTGCATAAATGAAAGTGACCTTATAAGACTGGCATGAAAACCTCCAGCTTGATTTTTCTTTTTTTAAAATGGAATTTTATGTAAATTTGTAGAAGAAAAAGCTTCCAATTCTTCAAAATCTGCAATATTTGGCACTGTTAAAAAAAATAATCTATTATATGCTATTTTGCAGTATACAAGAAGGTTTTGATAGCATACCTGGAATGTGGCTACAGATTTTCATAGTAAATGCTTTTAAAAGTATTTATTGACTATGTACCATTCAGTTCCCAGAACACAGCAATAATCTCTTTCAAATATAGAAGGAAAAAATAATATTCAATTTGAAGAATATAGAAGAAAAAACATCCTTTTAGAAATTGAAATGCTCATCCATTGGCTATTATATTCATGTAATGAAAACTTTATAAGCTATAAACAATATAAGAATTAGTATAGTGATCATATGTATACTATACCAAATTAGTGTGCAGCCCAAAGATCTGCCTCTGTGTCATCAACATTCAAAATCATTTCAAGAGGGATTTCTATGGGACTTCAGGAATGTAAAATTAATGGTTCTAAAGCTGTTAAAGACTGTGACTAAGTTTTTCTGCTGATGTGTGCCATCTTTGCTTTGAGGGTCTGCAGTCATCTAAGTGGTAACAGCTTGAAAATACTGCCACTTCCAGTCAATCCATTTTACAGATTTTTTTCTTTTTTTATAGTTTTGGGGTGGGAGGTACCCCACTGTAGCCTCAGGCAACACTAAGGCAAACTGAGAAGTGTTCCTCTGTTTCAGTAAGATATATGTAATTTCCATGTCTTCAGACTTCTGTTTCCAAAAACAAAGGAAAGATTTGGCCTGTAGAACATGTAGGTGATAGCCCAATAGGCTTTGTAGTTGATCACTTGCTGTGTGGACCCTATTTGAAATTTAGGATGTAATGCCTAAGTTCCACTTGCGAAATGGTCCAAGACACTGTTGGTTACAATGAATTACCAGTCTCTTAATGCTTTTAGAACAAAGTTATGAATTCTTAGTGATGAGTTGAGGCTTGTTTTGAAGTGCAAAACCTTTAGTCATTCTACAGATGTAACTTCAAATAGCTTCGGAAGTAGGGATATGCAGACTGTAATTTGTGAAGGATTGGGGTACTTTGCCATATAAATATTAGTTCTGACCATGAAAAAAATACATCTGTGAAACAGTGAGGATGCAGATTTTTAGATTCATAGTTTCCATCCAAAAGTGCAGATCTCAGCTTGTATCATCTTATACTCACAATTGTGAATTTGGCTTTCTTTATTTAGATAACATAAAAAGTGAGGGAGTGTGAAGGATCATTTCACTGTGCAGGAAAGAATATTTCAGGGTGGTAAATGCTGATGCATAATATAGTTATGGAAAACAACAATACTGGACAAACTAATGTGGAAGAGATTTGCTTAGACCACAATCATTTGTTCCTCTGTATTCCAGAACACATCCTGCCTTGCCTTATATATTGTAAAATTTAATTAAGACAAAATAAATTCTGTTAGAATTTAAATGTGTAGAAAGATATCTTAGGTCTGTAGGTTCTTACAGTGTCTAGATTTGTGTGGTAGCTTTCAGCAAAGTGTATTATGTAAGGTAGTATGAAGCATAATAAAGAGGTTTTTGTGTCACTCATCAGTTTTGTGATTTGTAATTGTAGAGACAACAATAACTCAAAAATCTTTTATATTAACTATTACTTTTAATTGTATGTTTTTACAACATGCTGTAACTGGAATAATTGGAAGTCTAGATCACTGCATGCTTTTTGGTAGGACATTAATTGTGTCATTTATAAAACATTAATTTAATGTTTACTAAATAACAGAAACCAAATGAGGGATTTACTCTGGCCCATTCCTCTATCTCCCTTGCCATAAAGAAAGTGTAAGACCAACCTCTTAGACTTGCTATTAATCTTATATGAGTATTTTTTTGCTTCTTTAATAGGTTGATTTGGTAAATATTGGGAGCTCAGACATTGTGGATGGAAATCATAAGCTGACCCTTGGTTTGATCTGGAATATAATTCTCCACTGGCAGGTGAGTGGTATTGCTTCTTACTTTTCATGAAGTACCTTTATTCCACTGATCTTTTTTTCCCGCTATTATACAGCCACAACCTACAAAGTAAACATAAACATTGCAAATAACGTCCTCAAATCTGCAAGTTTTATGGAAGTCTGTTTACATATTGTCTAGGATATTAAGAAACTTAAGAAGATAAAATAGCTTTTAGAGCATTAGGAGCAGGCCTTTTGATTCTTATTTTCCCAGTCAGATGTTGCAAGGGAATATATAATAAAATTATAGTTAGAAAAATGGAAAGGAAAAGCCAGCTTGGATATATAGCTTTCATAGTCAGTTTTCTTTTTAATATCTTAAAGAGAGTGACTTTTATATTTTAACAAAATAAATGCATTTGTTGCTTTTCACTGCTGGCTCATCCTTCCAATAATTACTTTTAGAACACTAAAAAGATGCTACTCTGACAATTTATTGAAGCAGATGTGGTTTATTTACCTTTCTTTCTTTTTAGAAAGGGGGGGAGGCTTATGGTACAGATCTTATAAGAAACATGGTAGATGAAGACACTTAAGTAAATAAATTCTGAGACAACAGTAAAATCAAAATTAGACAAGAACTAGCATACATGCTCTGAGTGTGTTTTTATATGAATCTGGGCTTAAGAGTTTCTCCATTTGTGCTGGCTTTGTTTCCCAAGCAATCATCTACAAGTTTTTCATAGCATGACAAGCAAAAATAGTGAGAAACAAAACTTAGAAGTCTTTATATTAAAACCTAAACACTTCTATTAAAAAATCACGTTCATCATTTGCTGAAGTAGGGAACTTTTTCTTTCTTTTTTTTTTTTTTTCTAGTTTTACAGGACATATTGTAGTGAAAGCAACAGAGAAAATCTGCTAAGTAAGTCATAGCCAAAATATTTACTTTCTTCAGGAAAAAAAAAAAGGCAAAATGATAGTCATATGCATAAGGCAAATATTTCAGTGTGGTGATGAGAATAACTCTTCTGTTCACAGCTTTCCATTTAGCAGTTTGACATTTTGGAATTCATCTTGGTGTCTGTGTTGACCTTTTCTCCCATTCTGTTCAAAATTGAATCTTTTCTTACTGCCATTGTATTGGTCCATTCCCCAGGAAAAGCAAGTATTTCTATTTTGTGGAAGTCAGAGTTTTCTACACCTTAAAGCGTTTTTTCCTGCCAGGAAATACTGCATTAGAGTGGAAAGGTAACAAAGAAATTACTATCAGAAGTTATCTGCAACTCATCTGCAAGAAGCAGATTCTACTAGACACGATGTGTAGTTTCTGACCCTGGATGCTGAGGGAACTTGTTCAAAAGCTCTTCAGGCTGACATGAATATGTGTCTACCTACTACTGTTCATCGTAAATGAGAAGCCTTCAAAAAGCTTCCTTCTATCAGTGTCAGCCAGCACTTCCCTGCTCAGACACTGAACTTGCTTCAGGACCCAGCCATCCTGCAGGCAGTGTGGTGCTTTGCCTGCAGCAGTGTGGCATGGTGTGGCACTGTGCTCTGTGATGCCACCAAGGTACCAGATGGGGGGGACGGCATTCTCCCTCTGGGTGCCTGGGAGGACAAGGTGGCTTTAGTTGTAGAAGAGTTTTCCACCATTTCTCATTGAATAGGAAGTGCCCCCCTTTGAGGATGAGATCATACCTTTTTACTTCAGTATTTTAAATGCCTACCTTTCTTTGATCTTCAACGTCCCCACAATTCATCTTTGACTTTCAACAACTAGGACACAATTTCAGAGTGGTCCATCTTTTATCACAAAGTAGCTTCTGCACTGAATGTTGTTCTTCAGCTGGTATCAGATGCAAAGCAATTCAAGTGGAGTAGTAGTAAAATTTTATACTCCATGAGAAAATAAGCAACAATAAGCTTAAATAAGTTTAAATTGTATCTTAGGGAGTATTTTAAAGACCTATAAATCTTTACAGTATATACGGAGAAAGCAGTGATTTAAAATTGATTACAGGAAAATAAATTATAGATTTCATAATAGAAACTTTGTGTGCTCTTTCACTAGTAAAGAAATTGCTAAGAAATATATAATCCACTGCATTATGTGCAATGCTAGGGTAATATTTTTAGAAGCCCTCAGGATTAATGGCTTTTTGCAAAATAATAACTAGTTCAGCTTTCCTTAATGAAAAAGGAACATTAACTATTCATTTAAAAATTAAAAATTAATCATATACAGTACCCTTTTAATGCATGCAATGAAATTCACTTTTCATCCAAGTGGATGTATGCAAATATAGTTTGCACATTTAAGTCAAAAACGTTATCTACCATGCACATTTATTTTTGCCTTGGTACTTATTTGAACTCTGCCAGTGAGAGTAGAATGTTTTTCATCATTTTATCAGCTTCTTTAGTAGTGTATCCCATTAACCAAGGATGTATTTCCAGAGCAAAGAAAACCACAAGGAAAAAGACTTAGTTTGAATGAACCCTGTGTCCGTAAGTGATGGAAACAAATGTGCCTTCTCTGTTCATGCATGGAATGCTTCATGTGGCACAGGGATAAATGTACTGAATGCATCAGCAATGGTGATCAACAAGTCAATATCCATTGTCTGCAATCATTCAGACTTAACTGCTGTTGTTATACTATGACACCAAGTATGTACTTTAGTTATTAAGGAAGTTTTTCTTTAAGGCTTAAATCTAAGCAACTCAAGGGATTTTGTGTAAGAAAAAAAACCCACAACAAAACAACAAAGGCAGCTTCTAATGAGTAAATTCAGTCACTGATGAAATTCTATCTCTTATTGCAGGTCAAAGATGTAATGAAAAACATCATGGCTGGACTGCAGCAGACAAACAGTGAAAAGATTCTGCTGAGCTGGGTCCGCCAATCGACTCGTAATTACCCACAGGTCAATGTTATCAATTTCACCAGTAGCTGGTCAGATGGATTGGCGTTCAATGCACTACTCCACAGTCACAGGTAGGGAAAACGAATATTTCATTATTGCAGTGAGACTTGTAACAGATGGCTGTTACAGGGCTTGAGGATGATGTACCTATTACGTGGGGGTGTTTCAGCATTCTTTTAAATGGCTGCCTGTTTGCTTTAACTTGGGTGCTGTGTTTGGTGTCAGACTGAATCCTGAATCCTTTTGAGGAGGGAGAGGGTCTGAGGTTTTCACAATGCAACTGAATATACTCAGTTCAGATCCTTTTTGGGAATTCCAGTGTATATATACCAAGCAGGTAGTCTTAATGAGTACAGGCTTGGCAGCTGTTGAGAAGAGCAAGGAACAGATCCAAAACCAAGCCCTTGAGGTTGATGTAGAAGGAGATTTTCCTGTGGAGACTTGGAAGTAGAAAATATAGTGTTTGTTGAAAGCCTTTGACAGTTGTTGGATTAAAAGTGTGGATTTCTCTCAAAGGGACACAGCTGGAGAAAGTAGCCTTTGTTTTGAAAACCTTTCATATTTTTCCCCAGCTGATTTAAGTTTTCACCCTCCCTCAGCAGTTGCCTTGTTCTAGTCTATGCTGTATAAACCCCTGCCTTTAGAGGTTCAAAGTTCTCTGGTGGTTCTGTGTATTTGGCTTAAGGAAGACACGGAAAGGCAGTCTATCTTAAAGGTCTAGTTACAACTACTGATTTTAAAGCAGTACTTGTTTTTTCAGTATGGTAAACCTCCTGATACCTCTTCTCCTACTTCTGTATTGCTCTCCAGAAGGGGGTTGCGCTGCAAGGTAGCTGACTGTTCCAAATTATCAGTGAGTTGAATTTTTTAACAGCTAAATAGGTATGGTCTGTTTACTAAGAGACAACAGGGATGTACAAGAAAGATATTAGTACAAGTCAGGGCATTTTTTCCATTTTTTTTTTTTTTTTTGTTTGCGTTGCTTAAAATAAGGCAAAGTCTGAGACAATCTATGCCTTCCAACTTAAGCAATGAAGAACTGCAGGTACTGCTTTCCAAAATTTTCGCTGGAACATGTGTTTGCTTCTGATTGAAACTATCTGATTAAGTCTACTGCTGTTGTAGTCCAAAGACTTAACACTGATGGCTAACCCTAACCCTTTCACACCTTGCATATGCCTGAGAGTCTTAAGATCTGAGTGAGCTGAGGTTCAGGAACTTTCAATTACAGGTGTTGTTTGCTTTCAGTTAGGAAGGAGGTTTATCTTAAGGAAGAATTTATTATACTCTGAAAGGGTTTTGTGTATGTTTTTCACCTACATTCAATATTTACAATATTGACAACTGTCTTTCCCACCATCCTGATGCTACCCATTGATGCATTCACATCTTCTTGGTGTTGGTGCAAGTGTTGATGCAGGTATTAGGAGAACTGCATTTGGGGAGGTAAATAAGAAAAGAATTAAAATATAGTGACTGTCACTAGCTTTTGATAACTACTTTATTTGTTGGTCATTCATTAAAATGTGGTTTGGTGGTTTTTTTTCAAACCCTCCCTAAAGTTACTTTTTTCCATTATTTCCTTTTGATTAAAATTTCTCATTTTAATTTGCTCTAAGTAGTATCATTTTGATTGACCTGAATATAAGAACATAATTATCCTGTAGAAATGAATGAATCTCTTTCTTTCTAAAGATATTATTCCATACTTGTAGATGATTAAAAAAAAAAAAAAAAAGAAACAAAAAGGCAGAATTGTGTGGGATTCTCTTCTGTCTGTGTCACTTAGATCTGCAGAAGCTCTCACAGTGTGGGAGCATGCACATAATTTCTGTGGGCATGAATACCTTTTCAATTTCCTGAAACGCTGTCTATACACAGACTTATTAAGTGGGAAAAATGATGTTTTTAACTGTCATGGTGTCGTGGTTTAAACCCAGCCAGACAGCTCGTTCACTCACTCCCCCCCTTCTTTCCCTCCCGCTACTCCTGGAGGGACAGAGAGGAGAATCAAAAAGAATGCAACTCCCACGGGTTGAGATAAGAACAGTTTAGTAACTAAGGTACAACACAGATCACTACTGCTACCACCAATAATAGTAATGATAAAGGAAATAACAAAGGAAGAGAATACAACACCTCAGCACCAGCTGACCGATAACTCACCCCCCAGCCCAACCAAACACCGACCAACACCTCCTCCAACCCTGCAGTCCTAGCACTTCCGGGTAACTCTCTGTTACCTCCTGGGCATGACGTGCTGTGGTATGGAATACCTCTTTGGTCAGTTTGGGTCAGGTGTCCTGTCTCTGCTTCCTCCCGGCTTCCCCTCCTCCCTGGCAGAGCATGAGGCTCACAAAGTCATCATTGTTATCAGTGTTGTTCCCAGGCTGAAAGTCAAAACACAGCACTGCACCAGCTACCAAGGAGAAAAATGACTGCTATTACTGAACCCAGGACACATGGTTTAACCTCAGCCAGCAACTAAGTACCATGCAGCTGCTTGTTCACTCCACCTTGGCATGATGGGGGAGAGAATCAGAAGAGTGAAAGTAAGAAAACTCATGGATTGAGACACAGAAAGTAAAATAAGTAAAACAAAAGTCATGCATGCAAGCAAAGCATTAATTCACCATTTCCATGGTCAGGCAGGTGTTCAGCCATTTCCAGGAAAGCAAGGTTTCATCATGGGTAACAGTTACTTGGGGAAACAAATACCATCACTCTGAATGTGCTCCCCCTCCCTTCCTTCTTCTGTCCTAGCTTTATATGCTGAGCGTGACCCCATATGGTCTGGGATATCCCTTGGTGAGTTGGGGTCAGCTGTCCCAGCTATTTTTCATCTCAACTCCTTGTGCACCCCCAGTTCACTTGCTGGTGGGGTGGAGTGAGGAGCACCTCAAAATTCTGAAAAACAGCTATGCTGAATTTATATTGATTAATTAATTTTTACTGTTAACTCAAGCACTAAAACCAGTAATATGTTATGGCATTGTAACTACCTTGATTTTATTTTCAGGAAATCAGTGAAGCAGAAGGCCAAAGCACTGGCACATCTTTTCAGCCAGACATAATATCTGACTGCTTGTTTCCTGATCAGGGTATCTGATACTCAGATATTCAGATAATATACTGTACAGGGCCATGTAGTATCATGTGTTTGAAATCAGTAATGGGAAATTCCTTTTTGTCCCTATCTTCAAGAAGAGCTCAGGAAGTCTGAAGGGAGGCTCTTATTCAGGAGCAGTTCCTAGTTGGGGAAGGCAGTTGTCTGCCTGAGCTACATTGATATTATCTAGACAAATACCTAAGTGTCTGTATGTCATACTTTATGTCCTGCAGTGTTCAGTTCAGTGTAAAGTTCACCAGTTGTGACCATTCATGTACGTGCTCACTAAAATTTATGCACTTTATTTAGGTTTTCTAAAGCAGGGCTGCAAAATTTAAGTTCTTCTTGTGTCTTCTTAACTCTTTTTGTGTCTGCTGGCTTAATCTTATTGCCATCAATAACTTTCTGCTCCATGGATATCACTTCAACAGAAGTGAAAAAAAATTACTCCACAGAGTCTTATCTCCTGCCCAGTAGTTAGTGTACTCATCTGGGAAACAGCAAGTGTGCCTTCAGATTCCTTGAGACAGGTCTCCAAGACACACCAGTTGTTGTCTTCTTGGCTTTAATCACTAAGTTCTTCTGTAGAAGTCTTAGAGGAAGACCTAATGTTCTCTGAAGCCTTGAGTCAGTAATTTTTAAGATGAACTCCTGCGCTTAGTGTGTCCTCTGTATTGATTTTTGGTGACTTTGCACTGCTTGCTTAGTTTGCAGGAGTACTGAATTGCCCTTCAAGATGCAATCAATAAAATAGGTACATTAAGACACCAAATGTTCAGAAGTACCTAGCTCTATCGTATAAGAATAAAATATCTTCTCTAAGAAGCACTGATGCCTAATTTAGTCACCGTAAAATACAACTATGTAGTTGACTGTCAGTGTCTAGGCTTCATGCCCATAGAAGACTTGTTGATCAACACCGGTTTACATGAAATCTCAGAGAAACCTGGTGTCTCACACATCCTATGCTTTATTAATATTTTGTGGTTTATGTACATAGAATGACAAGCCCTCTGAAGAAAAACACTTTTGAATTTAGCTCCTCTGTTTTCCCTGGTTGATTTTCTCTCTCCCCAGTTTTTCTGTTCTACTTTCTCTTCCAGTTCCTTGTTCTCCATAAAGTTTGGTCTAGATGTTCTCTCTTTTTTCAGTCTTCCTCTGAGTTTATTCCTCTGTATTTCTTTGATTCAGTTTTTCCATTGTCTTTTTTCCTCCTTTATTACTGTCCTTTTCTACAATACCTCTCTTTGTTCTCAGCAACATTTTGTGTTGAAATGGGCTCTTGAAGAAAAACAAGAACTTGTTGCTCTAATTGTCAGAACAGCCGTGGTTGTCTTTATGATTACTTAGAAAATAACTTAGTACATATATAAAACCCATTGGTGAAAAAAATCATTTTGCAGATTTAAAACTTATGTTCCTTGTTCCTGAAACTTAAGACTTGCATGATCTAATTGTCAAAAATTTACTGCAAATAGTAGCTTCTTTTCTTGACTCTGAAGTTTTCGAGTTTAGCCTTTCCTTCAAGTGTATTTCAGAATCCATAAGCCTTCTGAATTGACCCTTTGGCTGTAATTTGTTTCCACAGTCCTCGTCACCTTTAGATATTCTCAGGAATGGAAGCAGAATAAGTCAGAAAAAATGGCTAGCCATAGTATAAAAATCAGGTATCATAATGAACTTGTATGAGGACCTCTAGCCTGGTGTGTGTATTTTTCTGCCAATTTTAGCACTATTCCTAGCCTGTTTGCTACCAATCCTCTCCCCAAAATAAAAAAAAAAAAAAGTGAGGGAAGATTTCCTGGTGGCGTTAAAATAATTTATTTTTGACATCTAAAGGAATCAGTCTTTCACAATATGGAAACATTCCATTTTCTTTTCTAAACTCAGTCCTATTTAATTTACTTTTAAAACCAGTGGTTCATAATACTTCTATGGTATAATGCTAAGCATGGTATTTTG